GCCTCCACCTCAAGAGAAGGTATCGAGAGGTACATGTGGGGGAAGAAGGGCGTGCACCAAACCATCAAAGCAAATGCAAAGTGATGAGATGACTAGGACTAGAGCTGAGGGCAAAATAGGCGTCAACATTGAGAGAGTCGGGAAAACCACTGTCCTCGAGAGGTTACACCATAAAGATCGGGTTGAGTCGGCGATGTCCCATCGCGGCAGCCGCGGCGTTCCTGGTTCACGGCGAGGGAGAACAGGTGATAAAACCTGTATCTGCCCATGCGAATGTCAAAGTCTTCCGTACCTTTCACGCGAACGGAGTCAAGGACAAGTCGAGTTGGGCCTTACTTCAACGAACTATTGGAATATTTCATCACCGCAAGAGGCATACCGACAACAACAGTGGGATGAACGCCTCAAATTGTATCGGCGGAGCCGTATGAAGAACACGAAAGATAGAACTACAACCATTTTCGGGTCCTTCGAACTACCCGACTCCCTCAGGAACATCAACGGTCGACACCGCTGGACAGAAGTACGTTGTTGTCAACTTTGTTGGCTAGCAGCCAGGATTTAGCCGGTTGTAGCGTCACCGTGTTGAGAATGCTGTGGACTACTAGACTATACAGATATATCGTGGAATAAATGCAGGAGGAAAGCCAAAACACTTCATAGCTGAACAACACAGTTAGGCCCGCTTCAATCTTAACATCTGATCTCCGGATGAAGCGGACACGGCCTAAAGTGGAACAGAAACGGGCACGAAGACAAACGATCGAATGTAGTTTCTGAGGAAATCGCTTGCTGTCCAAACATCGGTTTGTGTCTATCTAAAAAGAAAGATGGTATCCACCTCCGTTCAGGATCCTCAGCGCCCTGTCCTCCGCGGCAGCCTGGATTCTCTGCACCTCTTCCGTCACCCGATGTTGAACAACGGGGGCTCTCCGGCTTCGAGGCTGACACCGATTGAAACGAACATAATGTTGCACCGCGCGCGTGAAAACGAATCGAAACGAATGAGCACATTAGTAGCCGCGAAACACTCAGAGAAACAATCACTAGCTGAACCCAACAGTTCGAGTGGGACGGAAAACGTAAGCGCTACCAATCGAAGAAACGCAACAGCCACCGAATCAAATCATGATCCGAAGTAGTCACCGGGTCGGCCATCATATGGCCCAAGGAGGTTACAAGGGCCAGTTCTTCTCTCCATTCTGCCATGGTCTGAAGTACCAGCGGGAACAAGCCCTTTCCGGATGCATGCACATGTCCAACAAACGTTGTACATCCCCAATCGATAAAGTGAAACAGCACACGCGGGTGTTGGAGAATCCGAAGAATGGTTCACGGGAAAATATCGTGCCGAAACAAACGTGTTGTGGAGAATAAACACTAAATGACACCTCGCTGCATCTTTTCTCCGAGTTGTTGCGCAAATCATAGAAACACCGTAGTTCGAACCAAAGAACATCGGCAAGAATACCCGGAGGGCGGAAGTGAAATATTTACATAGGTCAACTCACAAGATCTACTTTAAGATATTCAAATTCAGACTGTTATCCGTTGGTTCGTTGGTACCTCGCAACCTTGTGACTATGGACGCGAATTCACGCAGTCAGTATTCCCCCGATTATATGGTTTCGTCCTTTTCCTCTAGTGCGGTACCTGAGGGGGAGCGGGGTGAGGGGAAGGGGCGGGTTTCGGCACCACATCCGGGGGGCCTCTTATCAGCATAACCACAGAGCCCACAGCCTTTTTCGCCACCATCAGCAAGAAGCGTACTGTCACCCTCAGCAGCGCAGCGAACTTGAGTAGAGCCCAGACTCCCAAGGGCGTGTTCTGTTGAGATAGATAGGTGAAGAGGGAGGTTCTATTATAGATCGTGCAAGAGAAGGATAGAGAATATTGGAATATATGATCGACATAATATATATTCTGTTTTCTTGCTTTCCCGAAGGCAGCGTGCACCAAGCGCAAGAAATAGTGACCGGAAAAAGGCAAAACATGCTCCATAGCGCTCATAAATCAGCCCAAGAAAAAGTGGGGCAAAGACTGGCAATAACAAGGACAGTTCCAAGGAGCATCGGTGATTTGCCTCGCCCACCTGGGTGCTTTCATGTCCCCTGTTCGTTGATGTGTCCATTGTGTGCTGCGCTGATTCCACGTTATCCCTTGATACCTGTCGCGTGAAGGCAGAAATGGACACATTGACTTACAAGTAGAAGACTATTGGAACAGATGGTAGGCAGGGGTAGTTGACCGTTCGCAGTTTTTTTTCAGCCAGTGGTGGCTTCTCTAGAGAGGAATGAGTTCGAGGTACCCAGAAAAAACGATCTCCGCGGCCCTGGGCGCTATCCAATATTTACCCTCCTTGTTGTCTAGTCTATGTACTTCAAAGTATTGATGGGTGTAGTCTTAATCGCATTGAGTAGCCTACAGGAGGCCGCCGGGTTGTCTCATCTGCACATCTCCATGAACTTCGTTCAGTGCAGCGGAAGAAGAGTGGCTAGAGTAGGGTTGATGGTTTGGAATAACCGAATACATGGGGGTGGCGACGAGTTTCGCAAAAGTGACTGTGGTTCGCTTCGATTGAAGATCGACAAGCAGCAACGTTTCGTGTAGATAAGCAACTAGACTGTAACATGACAACACCAATCACTTTCAGAGCCCGCGGAGAGCCATATCGGGGTCACCTACTCCAACGCCGCCATTCCACCCACACGAGAGCGTACACCGCGTACCCAAATTGAGTCATCCCAGGGTTGTCCCGTGCCAAAGCCGGAGCCCTGCCTCTTCCGACCATCTGGAGCCGACACAGGACCCATCGCAGCAGAGCGGCGAGCATGGGTTCTGCCCGGTACCGCTGGAGAGCATACTCTTTACAATAGGCAACTTGAAAGTTTTAGCGAAGGCTGCAGTCATTTTTAGGGGTCCGAATATAGATGGGTCGTCTGAAATTGCTCGAGGGTCATTCAAGCTCTTCATTGCCTGGTGCGTCATTCAAAAGGTTTGACCGTTAGCGGTCAAGAACATTGTCGGGTGGATGTGTACTGCTGTAGAACGGCGGCGCTTCACATTCTTGTAGAAGCAACAACTGACTTAACCAGCCGATTTTTCAGCGAATAGACATCAAACAATAGAAGTGCCGGGGGGGGGGCTTCCTGTTCGTGACGTGGATTATGGATTATGTAATCCTCACGAGAGCTACTGCTGCTCATACGTGGTTTGGAGCTATGGAATTGTACGACTGCAATCGACCGCCCAGCGGGTGCGGATCTTCGGGGTAATCACTGCGTATCTTTAGCAAGCCGTGATGTGTTCCGAGTTGTGGATGCATCTTCGCGGCGGTGGGTTTATTGCGACTGGTTACTGGTGTGCGGCACGGGAGCTTGCCCCCCGCTGCCACTCTCTTCTGTGCGCTTGTCTACGTGGGACGACCTAATAAAACGACTTAACCATCTATCCAATCCTGTCAACTGGGTCAGCCGTGCTTGTACAGCAGCACTGGGCTTGGGACCAATCAACACTTCCAACCCACACGGAAACCCCACGGCAGCGTCCGTCGTGTACAGAAAGTGGGTCGGTCGAGGGCAGTCGCGTACCATGGAGTCTATACATAGTCTAGACTATATAGTAGCTCCGACACTTCTTCCGACCGACTGGAGTCCACGCGCGAGCCATCGCATTCGACCGGTGGAATAGAGATTTTTCCCGGTTCTCCTGTAAGCGATACCTGTACTTGAGCTTTTACTGCAATCTGGCGGTGGGGAATCTGATTGATGGCTTGTTCGGGATTATTTCAGGGTGCTACATATTCAACTCAAACAGGCAGTTCAAGAGCGCGCGTTTGGTCTTCTACAGCAGTAGACCCATAGCATATGACCGACCTCGCCGCGTCGAGCGACCAGGAACAAAGAGCATGTGTGAACACACAGGAGGAATGGCGTGGCTCACATTCTCTCAGACACACCCCTTCTTCTGCCTTGGTACCTTCCGTAGCTACAAAAGGTCGGCAAGCTTGCATACACTTGCCGTGTCATTATAAGGGAGGCTTGGAGTCACTCACAGTATATTTCCTAGATCCCTCGACGCCCTTCTCCTCTCGTCGATAATGTGTAGGCGGAGCGATATGGGCTTTCCCTTTTGAACTAGGGGATCAAGAATATGGAAGGACCTTCCGCTAGTGGATGCAAAGAGCAGCAGCAATTGTAGTAGTAGGTGAAGCAGGCGAATGTGTAGGATGGCAGGATCAAAACTTCTCACTCAAATCTCAAATTACGAATACGAATCCAACCGAAACGGCGCGCATTCAGCCGCTTCCCCCGCATTCCGATAGATGTACTGTGGTCTTATCTCGAATGGGTAGTCTTTCTGTGTTTGTATTTATGTTTCCTAATAGATATTCATATCTCAACGGGCGAACGGGTGTCTTCCGCGTGTATTTTTTTTTCCTAAGATCTACAACTGTTGATGCAAATCTAAATGTCTTCGGTGCTTTGCCCTCTGCCAGAAGGGGCCACGCCTTCCAGCTTCTTGTTCGTGCCACATCTTCTCCCGGCGCTTCGGCATGCGCGCTTGAAGAGGCTTATCTTCAAGCCTTGAACGACAGAGCAACAGTGAAACACGATATATGTGTGCACACAGCGGTTGGCTGTCGATCATGCACTTTTCACTTGTAGTTTCCCTCTATTGTCAGGCCCTCACAGAGTGACTCATGCTCTGGGAATGTCGACGTAGTCTTCGAGGCGTAGGATGGACCGTTGGGTCAAAATGAGAACTTCCTCTGTGCCACAGGAGTACTGAACGGTCCTTCGGAACCGTCACTCACGCCGCCGAATCTGCCTGCATTTTTGACCACAGCTGACTTTTTACTTGTAGTTACGGTCACGTCCGTCCCGCTCCTTAGTCAACATGTAGACTACAGTATTGTCCATATATGCATGTTTGAGGACTCATTTCATCATACCAGCACCCCAATCAGCAACAAAGCACCACGGAGCACACTTCCCCAGCAGTGCACTGCGGAGTAAATGTGGCGAAATAAGGGCTTGCTGACTGTACATACTTGAAATTCCCCGGTTTGACAAGCGATATCACACATGGTTCGTACTATCGTAAAGGGTGGAACTCGCGACCAGTTGGCGGCCAGTGGAAGTCTGTTCTCCTGAAATCTCGCGAACCTTTAACACTGCACGAAGGCACACCGATAACTTACGGCTGAGAACAAGGTACAGCCGCTGGCCTTTGCCGAAGAACGACAGACTGCATGCGAACGGCCCCAAACCAAAATGCCTATGCGGTCGACTCTAGGCTAGGCAACGAAAACGGCAAATCCATAAGGGCGGCAACCCTCTTCTGTCGTATTACCAAAGCAGCGAAGCGTACTTACACAAGCCTCTATTTATTATGCTCCGAGAAATATCCAAGACAAAACCTCTCCCTGTACCAGCCCTACAAAGAGGCTGTATTTACTCAGAAACTACTGCTATATGCGTCACCTGCAAGAGTTCATCTCTCCATCTCGCCTCCCTGCGGGTCATTCTCGTACTGCATGATCGCAAGAAGGATCTCCTGGCCAATAGACGCTCATGCACGGCCCGAGAATTGCGGCAAGACTTCGCGTCTCGTTCGAAGTGCCCAACACCAAAGCGCCGACTCCATGCTGGCACTCGACGAACGTACACACACAAAGCGCATCATCTTTGGTCGCTCACGCAATCACGACACCGACAACAACTTTCACGCCAAGAGCGATATTTCCCTCCCATTGTCGCAAAAGCTACCATAACAGGGCTATTAAAATTTGTGAAAAGGCGGTCTGCTCCGAGCCACCTCATGGCGAGGAGCTGGGTTATCCTCCGCCAACAACGCCTCCTTCCTCTTCTGTCCCTGGGCGGTTGACTTGGCCAAGATGGTCGTATCATACCATGGGATGCAAACTGAACTGCAATATGTGTCTCTACTATACGCCAGTTTCTCCGCCCTCCCCGCCCCCCGCCCCCGCTAACATACACACGGAAAACAGTACGAGTGAACATATCACAATCGTGTGACAAGTTCTTTCTTCAGCCCGTCAGAGGGGGATTTTTTTTCACGCCGAAACCAACACTTTACACAACAACACTCAAAGTAAACAAACGGGAAGAAAAAAGCAGTGTTCATATGCTGTTGCCTTCGCTTTCCCCGACAAGGGCGAAGTGTCCCATTCGGCGTCTACCAGCGACGACCACCCCTTGAAACAAACAACGCAAAAAAAAGACAGCCATCACCGACCGCCTGTTGAACATCCTTGTCAGAACTCCCGACCAAACGCACACACGTGGACAGAAAAACGTGCAAAAAGTCAACATAAAAACAACAACAAAGAATCAGGTGAGACAGCTGCAGTTGCGAAAAAAGCGCGGCCGCACACCGAGAGATCGATCGGGGCCAAGAAGCTTGGTGCAAGTAACGACACAATGGGTTCTCTGCCGCTCCCAGTACAGAGACATTGCAAACGGTAGCTGAACTAGTGTCCAGACTGATTAAAGCAGCCCCGGCCATCCTGCACGGTAACACACACATGAAACTAATACTATTTTTCGAGTGGCGACGGGTTCGGCCGAACCGCAGGGCCCCCGACGCATACCTACACAGATAGGATCCCTCATAAGGAAGGTTAAGCTCTCAAGGGTGTAAGCGATTTACGCAACGATACCGATGTAACAACACTCAAAAAGAAAAAAACGTTGAATAAGCATGTTATGTGGCGTTTGCACCGGGGAGACGCCCTCGAGGGGCAAAAATCTTGTGTCAAACACTCAAGGTCGACACTCAACAACAGTGACGAAAACTCACATGAGGCTGGCTGCTTGTTGGTGTGGGTAGAATGAAAATCAAACCCGGGTTTCGATGACGATGACAACGACGACGACTGAACCGAAACGTGAGAATCAACGAAGCTACATCCCACCTACCACCCGCAACACCACAATTTGGAAACATAATAAAACATTAAAATGGATCCCTGCCGCGAACGACCGCTGTACATATTCGAAAATGGATATTTCCCCCCCCCCCCCCCCAACCGAAAACAAATTTTCGTGAGTATCCCCAGTCAGTCGTAAATAAACATACAATCTACACTGCCACACACAGAATCCGCCTTCTCTTAACATGTCACGGTCTTCCCTGCTCCATCCCCATCTTTGGCCGATGCGCACGTTCAACAGGCGGCGCACCACGGCAGTCCCCGCCGGGGCGAGCCTGCACGCCACTCTGAAGGATCCCCCCGGTCGTTGAAGACACGACACTCCTGCCAGTCAGCGGAGGCGTGTTCACGAAACGCGAGGCCTGCTCTCGTATGCGGGGTGCCAGATAAATGGGAGAAAAGATGGGTACGGCGGGCCTCTTCCTCGTACCGGTGGTCCTAGCCCGGCCCGCGAAACACGTGGGCGGCTTGCTCCCGTCACTCACACCGAGACGGTCACAATGACTTCGGAAGACCTAGCGAGCGAGCAACACGAAACACGGAACAACCCGCGGAATTCCCGGCAACAAAGAGCGGGGCATTCATTCTGCGGTGATAGGTGTGCAAATAATATTAGTTTTTTTTTAGGAGTTTTTCCGCGCGCGAAGCGCGCGTGCGAAAAAAAAAACGGAGCGATAGCGGAGTTTTTTTTTCGCAAAAAAACTGTTTTAGATGGGTCCTTTTTGTTTCCCCGCCTGGGTTCTGCGCACGTTGAATAACACCGCCTGTCAGCCCGACCCCTGAATTAATTACTGTTCTCAAATTGATGTTCGTGTGTGTGTGTACTTTTATTATTAGCATCGACCGCGCTAACCGGCTGACCAATGAAAAGACGTCAGTCTCNTGTTCGCACGACGTTTGCACCGATAAACAAGCCGTTTGAGGATCGTTTTCGGTGCGGAAAAGTGCACAAGCTGCAGCGTAACAAGGCCATCATTCCGCACCCAAGCGTTTCTCATTTCGTGCCCGCGTCGCTGCGTTCGGTGCCGATACTTTTGTACTCTATTTACAATCCGTTTCATCGATAACTGCGCCAATTGGCGACGTTCTGCAAAAAAAACAGTGCCCAAGCCTACTCCTAATAGGTGAACACTTCTCGCGTCGTTGGTTCCTTGCCCCAACCCCTAAGTCACTCGTTCACACCCGGTTTGTCCTCTCTTTGCGGCGTCCTTCAACTGTCATTTGGGACACGTGTGTGTCGGTTTGGTTCTGCTGCTGCTGTGTTCTTTTTTTGACCTCGTCCACACCGAGTGGCCAACTTTGGCACGTGTTCAGACCAGCTACCACGCATCTCCTCCTCTACAGCTCGCGGCTTTCCCTATCTGCATATCACAGAGGGTGTTCGCGTGTGGTTTGCAGACCACGACAGGGCGTAGTGAGGAGGGGCTCGCGATCGGCGACAACTCGCGTGCTAGTTCAAATATTCTGCTGCTGCTGCTTTGTTCTGAGTGGTTGGGCATTTTTTTCTACTTCATTTATTAACGCATACGGAGTGCTGACGACAACGATTCGCATCAACAACATCGCATCAACAACATTTCGGGTGTGTGTACCAAAACAAAAGCAACACATATTCACAGGGGGCGCCCGACCCAGCCTACTGCAGGTACTTTCCGCAGCACGGGTTATGCTGTTGTGATGGTGCGCACGGAAAAAACTCCCCCCACTCGGGGTCTAGTAGAGAAGAGTGGCCCGATAGGGACGCTTTTTCTTTTGCAAAAAAAAACTGTTTAGAGGGGGGGGCAAAACGGGCCAATAAGTCTGTCTGTGACCAGCCTCGATATTTTCCAGCAGATTCCAGCCCATTTCACCATCTCGGCACCAAATTGCAATCTAGGACGTGTTCACAACAAGTAATAATTTGCCCGAGCTGCCCCAACTGCTACCTTTTCAATCCGTGCCCGGTGCGTCGAGATAGTGCAGCGTCGGTACCCAACTTGAAGCAGGCAAGTTTCTGACCCCTTGCAACACCGAGAGGAGGCGTCGTTTGATTTTGAACCAAGACATAGCCTCGCACACCACACACCACACACAGAGCCAGACATGGATAAACAGGGAGAGGGAGACACAGACCACAGCGAGGGCGAGACGGCGGGAGAAGGGTGTGCCATGCACTGCTGCTGTTAGCTATCGGCGGAGGAAGCGAGAGGAGAGATCAACATTTGGTTGCAGCAGCAGCTGCCGCAGCAGCAGCTGCGGCCTCTCTCTTTCCGCGAAGAGGGGCACATGACACCAACAACACACAGGCGCTGCGCACCACCATTGGTGCGACATGTACTGCTGTACGCCTCTCTACCCTTTTGTGCGCGAAGGCTTAGTGTGCGACCAGTGCCTCCCGTGCTAGCCTGGTTACCCATCACACGCTTGAACGCTTTTGAGATTTCTCAATCGAAGCTCGAACTGACAAGCGAAGCACAACAAACAGCAGACATTTTTTTTTTTTTTGCTGCTAGCCCTATTTTTTAGTATACCACACCCCTCCCTCCCCCCCGGAGTATACCTCCCTCTCCCCCGGTGTTGGCCATCGGGGCTGGGTTTACGTCGCTTGGCAACGAAGTTGTAAAACAAGCCCCCCTCCGGTGTTTCCCATCGGGATTGGGTTTTCGTCGCTTGGCGACGACGTTGTGAAAAAGCCTATTCACTTCGTGAACTCGGTGAAGGCCACCCTGACTCTAGAAATCATGGGTTCGAGTCCGTGTGGAGGTGTCTTTTTTTTCCAAGACGTTTTTATTGACAACAGGTATGTGGGCGACTGCGAACGAACGAAATCCAATGTGTATATTCCCGCACAAGCCTACTGCAGGTATTTTTTTCAACCAAAAAAATATGTTCCACCTCCCGATCTAGTAATGACATTATGTGCACAATATATGGTTCTTAACGAGTTGGGAGAGGAGCGGAGGGCGAAGACGCAGGAAAACGAGAGAAAGAATACATCTTGGGCGCAGATAACCAACCCTCCGCTGCGTGGGGAGGTGAAACGGCAGCACCGAGTGCGCCCCGCCTTGCGAGCGCTGCGCCTTGTCTGGCAGGTGCCGTTAGACTGTCTAGGTGATAAGAGCCGTGTATCATACCGATTGTTGGGTACTAGACAGACAGGTGTCCCGGCCTACATCTCAGCAAACCACATGACGCCTTTCGATGCTTGCGCAAACGCGGGATGCTATTGGCGTTCCGGCTTACCGACTGTGGCCGTCAGGGTGTGTGTCGTGTGAGAGGCGGCAAAGTCCCAAAAGCAAGACGAGATGTGGTGGTGGTTTCAGCCGCACGTCTTGGCTTTTTAACGTTGACAAGCTTTGTAGATATTTTCTGGTTCATTTCTCCTGAACACGCGTCCATCCTTGCTGCCTCCTGAATACGCTTCCGTATCGTACATCGAACGCAATCCCAGGTTACCTTTGCCCGGGCTGTGACCCACCCACCGCAGGTGCAATAATTGTGATGGCCTGACCCTCATGCCGATCCCCATCGTACGAGTCACCCCCCTCCTACGAGCCAGGATATTTTTCTTTGCACTTTGTGGAGTATCAAGGCATGATCAAAGTGTCCAACCCCCGGTGATCGGTCCAATGCTCGTCCTCTCGAGGACGCGAGGTCAATGGTCTAACAACTATGGCATGCAAAAGACAAGAGTACAGCCCCCCCCCCCCCCCGGCGACTCGCCAATGCCTCACGGAGCCTCGCGCTTTGGTGATGTGAGAGCCTTGTCCGGTGAGAACCCGCGCGCTCCTCCCAGGCTTTGTGGGGATGCGAGGTCAACGGTCTAACAACCCTGGTATGCACGGCTATGAGTACACCACCCCCCGGGATTCTGTCATCACTCACGTGCTGATGTTGGAGCCGGTCACCGTCACGGCGGACTCCTTGTCCCTGCCCGTGGTCTCGCGGGTCATGCTCGGGAGGTGCACCGCGAAAATGATGGCGCCCAGGCTAACGGCGTTGTCGAGGACGGCCAACGGGAACACCTGGTGGCGTTTCATTTCGTTACGTTTCGTTTCGTTTTCGTTAAGTATTGCTTCGTTGTCGTTATAGCTATCGTTTTCGTTACGTTTCGAATACGTTTCGGTCCGTGTTATTGGAAGCCGGTAAGCCCGTTGACGATAAGGGACGTTATTTAGGTGCAAAAATACACCAAAAATTACGACACATATTGTAAGTAAATCAATTCGAGCGCTTTCGTGATTTTTTTTCCCGTTTGTTCCCCGCGAAGATGGACAACGCAACGACCAGACCGGGCAAAAGGACAGGCGAGTTTCACGGTTGAGACACAGAGAAAGTCGGTGCGTTCGCCGCCATAGCAGTGAACGCCACAATTGTTTGAACCGAAAAAAGCGTGCACCCTTATTGTCTGTAGGAGGGGTTGCAGTTCTTGCTTGGCACCCGTTTGGGGGGCCACAGTAGCGAACAGCAACGGCCGTTCGCTTCTTTGGCTTGGTAGGGCATCTAAGGGGAAAGGCTGTCAATAGATGCTGTGAGGCGGAGATATATCGCAACAGCAACAAGGTAGGGGAGGGGGGGGGAGCGCAGACCCACCGGAATCAGGTACTTGTTGGTACCGTTCTTCATGTCTTGCATCTTCGTGAAGGCGAGAACGGTCACGATGAGCGTGAAAAGGAGTGACACGCCCGACGCGATGAGCGCCTTCTTCACCTGGACGAGCAAAACAAGCGAAGAACACAAGTGAAAATAAAAAAAAGACGCTAAAAACATTCCCCGGAGCCCCCCTCCCCCGCAGAGTGAACCTCGCACCCGGGGCGAGCCGAACTGCATCGTCGCCGTCCGAAGCATCGGCCATATTAACGGAAGCATCGGGACGCGCACTGCGCAAGATGACGTCATATTCATGACGATGTCATTATTTTTCTTACCAGGGTTGCGAAGACGGTGTCGACTTCTGACGACTTGGCGGGGCTTCTCGCCATCATCCTGAGGTGCATTATCAAAGGCCCCACGAACGCGGCGACCTGGGTGGCGGCGGAAGCAGTAGACAGCAGCAACGTTAACAGCTATAGCTGCAGCCGCAAGGCAACAACGAAACAGGGCTTGAATCTGATAGGAGTGAAAGAGTGAGAGCAACCGGCAAACGGCGGCCACAACCAACGCGAGTATGAACAACACTGACACGATGTCCACGGAAAAAGCTGCAGGAGGAAAACATCACTGGTGTTCTAGTGGAAAACACTGGTAGTATTCTGCGTTGCACTCACCACCCAGATAATTTCATATGATCCCAGTCGCCAAAGCATACCTGGAAAGCTTGGTTGATGAACTGAGCGATCCATTTGAGCCTAAAGGAGTTCATTTCGAAGGTGAACTTGCAACGAGGTCCGTCGAGACCTGAACAAGGGGCAAACGAAAAAGATATGGTGTATCTATGTAAACATGGGTTCCTTTCGCCGCGCCCTGCAAACAATTCAACAAAAGAGGAACGTTAACTTGGCCCTTTCTTCCACCCTGAGGTATGTGCGACCAACCGCCTTCGTTTCTAAATCAGCACCTCTGCAGCTTAACAGCGCAGAAAAATGATGTTTTCCATCACAGCTGGACCTCCCAAAACTCACCCTCGTCGACGAATACAAAAACACGCCGCAATTCCTATATGCCGTATCAAAGTTGCACATCCGATCCATGGTGCATACAGACTGCTGTCCTTCCTCACCATCAACTTGCGTTCCTTCAAGCAGCGCGTGGACAACGGCTAGCGTCACCCAGTTAAACGCGGTCGTTGCGACTCCGACCCACCGGTAGAACTTGCGCCACCTGTGTTCTCCCGTGCAGCGCACAACGAGACCTTAGTTATGTAGATGCTTTGCTTTCGGCATTTCATTTTTCTTCCGTTTGTTGCCTCGTTGGCTTGAGAATCTCTGTCGTGTTTTCATTGGCGGCAACAAATATTCGGGAGGTGCAAACTCTGCCCCACGCGAACACCAAGAGAGGTGAGCCATCCTCGGTCAGCCGTCTAGCGTGGTCCATGCGAAATATTTGGAAAACAGACGCACACACACGCACAGGTGTTCTGGGACTTAACTGGCGTCTTTTCGATGAATAGGTCTTTACCGCGGATGATGATAACTCAGAAATACACACACACAGAAGCATTTTTCGGTTTCAGCCGCACTGGCTTTTTTTCATTTCTCGGCCGGATAGCGGCGCCGATGCTGATAATAAAGACACACACACAAATGCGTGACGCAACGCGCGCACTCTCTCTCGTAGGTTTTTCGAGGACACCACAAAAAATCCGAAAACAGGCGGGAGGGGGGGGGGGTTGACCTTACTTGGGGTTCCTCTGGTTGCTCGCGTCAGCCTTGACGAAGAGATGCAGGAAGGTGAAGGCGTTGCTAGCGCTCATGCAGGTGCCGTTGACGGCGGCGAGGGTGGTGCAGCTGTACATGTCGCCAAGCCCGTTGAACCAGTACTCGAGCGCTGCAGAGGAGGGAGAGGTTGTCGTTGTTGTCGCAAAATGTAAAATAAGAGAAACTTCAAGGATGCTCGCACGCTTATGGTCGTTTCCAAACTCGTCCTTGCGAGTGGCAGCTGTAGCGATGTCAGAATCTGCAACAAAAGGGTGCATCACATAGTCGGTGCATCTGGCCTTGAATCGCATTCTTTGTGTGAATGGTACACCCACACAATCCGTCTACGCCACGATGAAAACATGACAAACGAAAATTCAGGGCTGGCTCCAGACAGGGAACAACGTCCGAGGACTAACAACAATGCCATTGTACCGGCTTACATCATCGCGGTCAACAAAAGCTACGGCATCGATCGGTGACGTGCGGCGGGCTGGCATGAATGCGACTCGAGCTCATTCGAGTCTTCTCTGGGGTAAGCCAATATATACTCCGCATCGAGCCGACATACGTCGTGGGGTTGGGTGGCATGACGTTTGCCCAAGCTGTCGAACTATATCATTCATACGTAAGCTCAAGACCACCGATACCGTATCCCCCAGCAAGGCGG